TGTATAAGAGGTTGCCAGCATGTATACATGTACACTGCATGCTTACTCAGTATCCTTGGGGGACATGAGGGCACTGGATACTCTGGAACTGGAGTTGTGGGTGGTTTTGAGGGGCCGTTTGTGTGCTGGGAGCAGAACTAATGTCCACTGCAAGAGCAGCAAACAAATGCTCTTTACCGCTGAGTTTCTCCCCAGCCCCGTATGTCTTTAAATTTCTATTTTTGAGATTATCTCATGCATGTAGGTATTTTGGGGGCACACATGTACATATACCATGTACATGCACTGCCTGTGGAGGCCAGAAGAGGGCGGGGATCCCCTGGGAGCTGAACCCCTGTCCTCTGGGAGAGCAGCCAGTGCTCTTAACCACTGGGCTTTCTCTCCAGCCTGCAGCCCAGGATCCTCAAAGTCTCTTAGAGTCTACCACACAGTCAGATTTCAGGTCCATTGTCTCTGGTGGCCATGTGAAACGCAGCTGTCACTACCTGAGGACAAGGCTCCAGGTAAGAGGACTCTGGCCCCAGTGGATGCAGGGTGATGGCCTTCATGGTCACACTCACCTCATAGTTATATTTGTGCTTCAGGTTCCAATGGCAGATGGGGCACTGGCCTGAGGGGTTAGGGGGGTTTGGAGTTGCCTGGGGAGTTTCTGTGATTCGGCCTTCAATCTACAAGGGAAAAAGAAAACCAGTGTGAGAGCCTGGGCCAGGCATACAGGACTTTAACTCTGAGCACACACCAAAAGAATACCAGTCAAGCTTACTTCTGGGGGTCTCATGGCAGCAGCTGACAGGTCTGCATGGGAGGTGGAGATTTTCTATAGCTGCTCTCTGCTGGGCCTTGGCCACAGGGACGTGGTTTGGTGGCCAGGTAAGTGATGCACACCTGTAAGCCCAGCAGTGGGTGGCAGGGACAGGAAAAGTGGAAGTTCAAGGCTAGCCTGGGCCTACTGATGCCTGAGGTGGGCAGGAGAGGAGTGGAGGCAAGAGCATCAGCTGCACACATCTGTCAGGGGACACACATTTCCCATCTCACCTAGGACACTGAATGACAAGGCCAACGGCAATCGGAGCTGCCAGCTTACACACAGCAACTGCTCTTGGAGAGTCTCCCATTTCCTGGCGTGTTTAGAAAGAGCCGCAGCTGCCAGCACGGAACTGGTACACAGCAAATGCTCAATAAATGCTATGTTTAAGGGGTGACATAACCACCACTGTCTCCTTCGACGGCTAGCTGCTACAGTAGGGAGCTTGAGCCCATACAGCCTGCAAACCATCTCTCCAGATACTAAAACTCTGCTTACCAAGTAGTTTGGCTACCACAGGTTAGTTTGGCTTAGCTCTGGCTAACACAAGAAGGAATATAGATTAGAAAAGTGCCTAAGGTCCTTGACTTTGAGAATTCAGCAGGAGCTAAAGATCTCTCTCTAGGAAAAACATCTACCTGCAATTACACAATTGACCATGGGCTGCAGGAGGCTCACACCCACTCTAGAGTGTATGTCAGAGACCCGGCTGTGCCTCAGGTGGAAGGTGGTATACATGTTTCTTCTTTTTGCCTGCTCTATTTTCTAAAATAAACATACATTGCTTCTGCAAAAACATAATATAAACAATAACAAGAGAAGAGCCTAAGGAAAAAAGGCAACGCTGACCCAACCAGAGCCCATGTCAGCATCTGTGACCAGTGAGCTCTATGACCGACACCTAATTGAACACAGGCTGCCTGGAATCATTCCTCGTTTGTTTTCTGGGCAAACCATTCCTAAAGAATCATTACTCCAAACAACCAAACTGAGAGCCTTCCATGACCAACTCCAGACACACATAAGTGAAACAATGGCCAGAGCAGCCCAGAGGCTTTCTCTGGGGAACACTGTAGGTTCCTTGTGTACAAGAAACTGCGTCACCTCACACACGGTTCTACTTGTCCAGAGCAGAGACCAAGCCATGAACGGGATATGGGTGAGACTCAACCTGGTTATCAGCCTAGAAGCCAGCACATCTGCAGAGGGAAGGTCACCACGATGTGCACTGCAGAAAGGCCCACACAGGGGTCCAGGGAGAGCAGGAGGGCACATCTCCAGCCCAGGAGACCCCAGCTACCCTAGAAACTTGGCTACTATGCAAAACAAATTGGGGGAGGGCCAGAGGGTGACCGAATGGGAGCAACAACAGATAGGGAGGCAGATACTGAGAAGTCTCAGGAAACAAAGGCGGGGACACATTCTGGGACCATGGAGGCAGCACTAGGACAATGAAGGGCAAGGAGCATAAACATGTGGTTTCCTTCTTGGTCCAGGCTCTTGGGCCCTAACCCTGAGGTAAACAAGTCTAACAAAACACACATCACTCTCGGCAAAGACCCAAACCCTGAAGTCATCCCACTGGCCCCTGGAAAAGAGATCAAAGCCCATGGCAAGCTCCACTGTTAAAAAGCTCTCCCACAGCAGCCTCTAGTGAGTGTCTTTCTAGAAGCTAGTGGGTAAAACAATAGGCAGATGCTTATCTATGAGAGACAATCTGTCAAACCAGAGGAATGACCCAAGGAACTCCCAGGATACAGATTGATCAGGGAGGCGAGTTAGAGCAGGGAAGAAGACTGGCTGGGGCCTGGAGAGCCCTCAGCAGACTTTAAGCCCCTGGAAAGAGGAGATAGGAATCAAAAACAGTATTGATTTTCAGTGTGCATAGAAAAACATGGCAAAGCCAAACCTGAGATCCATTTGTCCCTGGCCCCGTCTCCATTCAAGAGAAGTGGGGGTGGGTAAGAAAAGCTGGACTAAGGTTCAGGAACCAATAGGTTAGGGCATGCATGCTCCATGCCTTTCCACTCGGTAAGCAGCTCAGGTGCTCACAGCATCCTGGAAGTAGCAGCTGGTCTGAGCAGTCCTCTACGTGGACCACAGAGAGTCCTGGTAAGAGATGGTCCTCTCAGGAGGACCTGAGCAGGCTGGCTTGACTTGTCAGGATAGAGGGAACACTATTGTTTGCTAATGAGAAGTCTAGCAGCCCCTTAGCAACAATTTGGCTTTTACAGTTCCAGTTACCTATAATCAAACATGATCTCAACAAAGGAAATGGAAAGTTCTAGAAGTAAACATTTCATACCTTTTAAGTCACATGCCATTCTGAGTAGCAAGAAGAAATTTGCTGTGTGTCCCATCCAACCCGGGACTCAGGCCACTCCTTTGCCCAGCATGTCCCTGATATGTACACTGCCCTTGCCTGCCAGTGACTTCAGGCTGCCCTGATCATCACATTGACATCACAGTATCTCAGTGCTGTGGATATACCATCCTTAATAGCTTCCATAATAGCTTCACTAAATGCAAACAGATTGAGGCAGGATAGAGAAGGGGAAAGAACAAGCTTGAGGATCTAGGTTCAACTCCCCAGTACCCTTGTAAAAAGCTAGGAGGGGCCTTAGTCCCCTGTAACCTCAGCACTGTGGGGATCAGGGATCCTTGGGGCTGACTATCTGCCAGCCTAGTTTCAGGGTCAGCGAGAGACTCTGTCTCCAGGGAAGGGTGGAGAGCGACAGACAAACTTCTTCCCACACCCTAGATCTCTGCTTCCTTCTGTGATCTTTGATCTGATAGCTTCAATTCTTAGTTCCATTGGCAACGCCTGCCCTTCCTCGGGGAGCAATGAATACCTCATAAGTCAGGAGTCGTTCCATCACTAATTTCCCTTTAAAGAGTAATATAATTCCTGCTGGAGGCTGGTGAAAGGATAGAGCAGAAGGGGGACATTTGCCACCTACCACGGGGGTGGGGAGGGAAGATAGACATACAAACCAAGACTGGCCTCATTTTCCCCAGCCCCAGAGTGCTGCCTGTATTAATCAAATAATCCCTGCGTGACAGTTAAACCCAGTATTAAGGGATTCCTACAGAGCAACCCCCACTCGACATCCATTTCTCTCCTCCCGGGGATAGGTCCACACAGCTGGCATTATTATCTCTACTTATTTGTGTGTGAACTAAGTTTCAGGTGGGGTAAGCAGCCAGCCTAACCTCACACAGCTTGCCGGAGACAGAGCCAGGGCAAACCCCTACTTTGGTTCCAAATGCTACGAAGGTCCCTTATGTACAGTGGCTTTTAGTTGTTTCTGATCACAATCTATGCTGAGAAGTGAACTTTGCGTCTTCCCGACAGTCCCTCTGCACCTGGCATGCTGTACCTTCTACCCCAGGGGCTGTCACACAGGGCCACCCATAGGTCTGGTGTGCATGCTGGGAGACTTGACCTGAAGGCAGCTGCTGCCCGGAGGGGGGAGGAGTGAGCACAAGGAATCTCCCTTACTTCCTTCTCCACCTCCTGCTGCCCGAAGGCCACTGCTCCTGCCTGCATGAGCTTCAGGCTCTGAGAAGCACACCTCCCTGGATGCTCCCGTTCCTGCGGGGCCCCATGACTTCCTGTCCCTACCTCTGAATCTTCTTTCTCTAAGCTACCTTCGGACGAGTAAACTGTTTCTCTTGCTTTCTTGCTCTCTCCTTCTCCCCACCCCCAGAGAGAGGAGTTAGAAGAAAGTTCTCTTCTTCTATGCCTCGCATGGCCCTTCTTACTGAATAAGCAAAAAAGGAAAATGTTTCAGACTCTACCCAGAGGGCTCCATGGAAACCCTGTAACGTGTAGTCTTCCCTGTCAGCTGCCTGGACCCTGCCGCAGTTGCGGCCCCAAATAACACATGAGACACTATATTAATTATGAAGCTGTTGGCCATTTATTATTGTTTTTATTGTCTATCTCTTACTTAATTATTGACCCATAATCACCAATATATATTTTTATAAGGATTTATCTTTCCAAGAACGCCAGACTTGTGTCCTCTCTGCCAGGGATCACATCTCCACGACACCCTTCACTACATTTCCCAGAATCCTCCTAGACTTCTAGTCCCACCTATCTTGTTTCTCTATTGGCCAACGGTGCTTTATTCAACAACCAATAAGAGAGACATATTTACAGAATGACATCTCCCATCAAAACCCTGCACACCAGTCCTGCCTTTTGGGGACAAGAAGCTGTGATTAGGAAAAGAGGCAGTGGGCTAGCCCCCGGAAAGTGCTGATGAGCTCCCTGAAGAATCGGGCCGTTAGGCACACAGGATTGCAGTGTGTGCTGAACCATCCCCGGCCTGTTTCCAGGTAAAAAGACATCGTGGGAGATGAACTCTAACACCATTGGGCCCACAGTACTGCATGCGGTCAGTTTTCCTGGAAGCCTTGCAGAGCAGGAAGGGCTCCAGAGCTGTTCAGTCCCTCCTTCTTCTCAGGTAAGAAAGCCATCTCCAGCAACACCACACCCCTCTCAGTCAACACAGGCCGATTCACCGGCCCTTTGCTCAGGCTTCCAAGAAAAACCACCAAACCCTTCCCTGCCAAGGTGTCCTGGTGTCTGGGGATGTCTCTCAGAGCATCCAGAGAGGCAGGAGTCCCCCTAGCTTGTAGAAGCAATGGCATCAGGAGTTGTGGGGAGAGAAGGGATGCCTGCGGCCTCACTCTGATCCCAAGGGCCAGGGTCTCTCTGAGAATGGACATTACTGACCAGGATGAGGGGAAGGGCCAAACAGGGCAAAGACTTCACATCCTCATTGTCTAAAGCTCCTGTCCCAGCCTCTGTGGGCATGACCTCCAGCGTGAGAGCGCATCCCTGGGAGGCAAAAGAGGAAATCGGAGGCTGGGAGAAAATATGATAATATCCACTTATAGGTCGTTTTATTGTTATTAAAATTTCTGCCTTTCATTGTCTAATATCGTGGCTCTTGGTATTATATGCATAAACTTACAAATTAATACACTTATTTTAGAATATGTACAATTCTAAAAGAGTTTTTAGCCGCTGCATAAGGATAACTCTGAAAGCAAGATCTACTTATTGAAACGACTTTTGGAATCCTAACCAGTCCTGTGGCCATTTTTCGAGGGCTAGCTAGTCTTGTGGGGATTCAAGTGTGACTCCTGTGTGATCCCAAGGCAAGACCAGAAGAGTTCAGAGCAGCCAGAGTTCCTGCAGTGGATTTCCTGGCTTCAGCTGGAAGAGAGAAAGGTTTTTACTGGGGGGCAGGTATAGCTCCCAACTTAGAAAGTATGAACTGGAAATACTGTAGCCCACTCATCCCATGACCAGGTACTTGTGTGCAAATCCAGCATAGGCAGGGGAACCCAGAGGGACCACTGTGGGCTGCGCCCTCTACTGCTGTGTAGTCATGATGGCCCCAGTGTAATCCCAATGCTGGGCAGATGGGCATGGAATCTCCAGAGCAAGCTGTGAGCTGGAGTGAATCTGTGAGCTCTGGGCTGGAGCGAGAGACCCTGCCTTAAAATATAAGGTGCAGAGTAGTTGAGGGAGACTTCCAGTGTCAACCTTAGACTTACACACAGTCACACACATACCTGTACACGCTTGCACCCACACATGTCAACATGCTTATATACACACATGAAAACAAAGGCAAACATTGTATACACATACATGCTCAGTTCCTATGAAATGGTTGGTAGACTCCTGAGTCCACCAACAGAGGAAGCTGAGTCTACGTTACTTTCCACTGGCTAAAATGGCTAAGGGAAAGAAGATGAGGAATCCCAGGACTCACACGGCTACTGCAGAGAAAAAGGTTTTCCCTTTGCAATGACTTCCTGTTGGTCTTAGGCCCCATTGCTCTGTTTTAGCTTCTGGGTTATAAAGCAGCAAACTACCCAATGGTTGTTTCAGCCAGGATGCTGGCTGCTGATGGCAGTCCCCAGGTGATTTGCACCAATTGGAAGTCTCCAAGGTCATTGCTATTATCACTGATCAGGAGTTCATCCTGGTAGAATTTGGGCTGTGCTGTGTCACAGAGGGTACAGGGGGTGGGGGTGTTTAGTCTGATGAGGAGAACAGGCAAGAGTCCAGCTTCTTCTCCTGTAGGTCAGGCCAGAGCTTATTTAGGAAGAGAGAAAGTTATAAGTGCAAGAGGAACATTTGCTTGTTTAATTGACCGTAGATTTTTCCTGACAGTAATTTGCAGTGAGATACAGGACTTTTTCAAGGTCATGGGTATGGGCATGGCTGGGTGCAGGGAAGGGCTGATGGGATGCTGGTTGGTTGGACTTTTGACTTTGCTGATTTCTCCAGGACTTGAACATCAGTTGATGCATGTCTGCTGCCCGATGGACGGCTCCCACTGGACTGGCTTTGCTCTCAGTCCCGATTCTTGCATCAACAGCACCTGGGGGACACCAGCCCCACTAAAGGTCAGTTGGTGATTCACTTGATCTTCCTCAGGAAGGCAGTGTGGGGGTCAAAAGAGAAGACTGCTTGGGCATGAAGCACATAGAGGCTGCAGCACCGTGTCTGGGCTAGTGTAGGGTTGGGCTCCCAGATGTGCCAACTCTTGACACATCTGTATGCATCCCAGAGTTACAACATGTGCAGCCCAACTTACTTAAAACATGAGAGTACTGAACTTGGGGCTCAGTCTGTACCCCAAGAAGTCAATTTCAGTCACCCACCTGATGGGAGATGTTCTTCTGTATATATATTTCTCTTATTGGTTGATGAATAAAACACTGATTGGCTGATTGGTCAGGCAGGAAATACAGACAGGGCTAGGAGATGAGGAGAATTCTGGGAAACATAGGCAGCCAGAGTCGCCATGTAAGCCACCAGAGGAGAAGCAGATTCGGGCGTTCTCGGGTAAGCCAAGGCCACATGTAAATACATAGATAAATAGAAATGGATTAATAATTAAGAGAGAGCTAGCCAATAAGAAGCCCAAGCCACTGGACAACAGTTTAATAATTAATATAGCATCTGTTTGTTTATTTGGGGCTGAAATGGTGGCAGGACCCTGCCATGCCAGAAACTTACACAACAACCTACCCTCAAGAAGCAAATTAAACAGCTAAATTAATAGAAAAGAAGAAGGAGGAGAAGTATAATAAGAAGATTATCCAATGTGGTGGCCACACTGGGTCAAAAATAGCCCTCCATTCCATCCTTGGGGTCCCGAGTGAGGTCAAAGTTTAAATACAAGAGGAGTATGCACACATAAGCAGTCCTGATTAAGCTGTGGTCCCACCCAACATTGACTCATTCTTGTCTGGGCTTCAGCTGGTAGTCAGGTGGCCTGATGAATGGTTAGAACTGCTTAAGTCTTTCTGAGAGACAAGCTCATCCTTTGCCTGGCATCTGCTCCTTCTCCCAAAATGAGGGAAACTTCCCATTTCCATGGAGTTCATTGTTTCCATAGTCTGAGAGTCAGGTTGAGAGTTACAATGTCTTCAATTGTACATCTATGGGTTACATTGTATGTGTTATTTAGTTTTGGAACTCAATTGTGTGGGTCTCCAGTATGAACTTTGTAGATGACAAGTCACAATGTCAAACACTGACGTCTGTTGGAGCAGACCCTAAGGTTCACCAAACTTGCCCTAAAGCTGAATTTATGGAGTAGAAGGGGACTCCAAAGATCCTTGCACTCAACCTCCTCCTCCTATAAGTAAAGTTGTGGCTTAGAGTAGCACCCACTTCTGTATGCCATGATGGGTTGGGGACTCTACTGCTATCCCCACTGTGTCATTCAGTGTTGCTGTGGGATCTGGTAAGCAACATGGAAAGGCCCCACCAGATCATGGCTTAAATTTATTGTTAGGGCTTATCACAGAATTTGACATCCAGTAAGGGCTCAGTGTTTCAATGAGTGAATGGACAGATGGATTTTTGGATGGGTGAATGGGTAGGCAGATGGATGGATGAATGGATAGGATGGTGAATATGGCTGAATTAGTGGATGGCTATGGATGAATGGCCAATGGGGTGACTTACCAAACAGCACAGATTGATGACATAAGTAACACGGTGTGGTGGCTGGTGGATCCACGGCACCTTATTGTAGCCCAGCTCTGGGATTCTTACACAGTTCACGGTGCTAACCAAAGGGTGACACAGAGGGATTGTGTCACTGGACACCTGACTCCAGAGCCCTGGAGTTTGGGTCCTGGTCTTTTAGCTAGCTGCAGGGTAGTCATATAGTCCTGCAAGTTCAAGGAGAAATTTGCTGGCCAGCCAGCTGCAGGATGTGCAGTTAGCACTCTGGAATCCAGCAGCTCTGGACTGAAGCATACGTTTTTTCCCAATCGGTGCCAGCCCATGACTAACCACAGAGGATATTAGAGCCTGGCTACCACTGCCCATCTGGGTGGGGCAATCTGTGTTTTGATCTCCCTGCTGGACTGACTAAGGCTGCCCTTGTTGTGGTCCCATGCTCTCGTCTGTCATTCCCACTTTCTGCCTGTTTTTTTTCACAGACGTGCTTCTCATCAAACCTAAGAAACCTTAACACCTACCTCCCTTCACATGGAAGATGGACTTCACTTTGCCACTCTATAAGACACTCTTGTCTCTGAAGATGGTTGTGAGGAGTCTTGACTCAGGTCAAGGGTGAAATCGACACTTGGTCTGGATGAGCACTCGGGTGCACTAGCCTGGGTTATCAGAGGGAGTCTGGCCGGCCCAGGAATCCTGTGTCTGGTGAACGGAGGGCATTGAGGCTACAGCCCTCAGGCTGACTCCATGCCCTGGAGGGACACTAGGAAGTCAGGTCAGAAACATGGCCAGCTCAGTTCCCCTGTCCTGAGCATGCTAGGGAGGTGACATGGGGTGGGGTTACCTGTAGATATGAGAGGTCAAGGTGCAGCAACCTATATCCAGGTTCTAGATGGCAGGAGTATCCTGACCACCTCCCATCCCCCAAGGCTGGGCTCAGACACACTATGGTGGCCTGCTGGACACTCAGCTCCTTCTGATGGAGGTAAGGGCTTCCTCTGTGGCTCTCACAGAATCCAACTGTCTCCTTTCGTGGATACCTTGGCCACTTCCTGATCCCCATCCAGGTCCTCCATAGGTGTTGTTGACCATCTCAGCCAAGGTGTTGATTCACAAAAAAACCAGCAAGCTTTTACCTGTGTCCACCCTTACAACAGAAAGTCACCCCAGACAGGAACATACTCTTCCTTTTGAAACAGGATCTGCTTCATGAGGAGGGACACCCATCGATAGTGTCTGCTTCATGAGGAGGGGCAACCATGACCCTGTGTGTGCCTGTGCACGAGCGTGAGTGTGTGAGTGTGCACAGTGGAGGTCAGAGGACAAGTTCTGGTGTCGGTTCTTGTCGTTCGACTTATTTGAGGCAGGGTCTCTTGTTCACCCTTGCACAGAGTACATCAGGCTGTCCCATCAGCTCCCAGGGAATTCTCACAGTTTCACCTCCATCTTCCCATAGAAACACTGGACTTAGGCACTCATGCTAGGCAGCTGGCTTTTCTATGGGTTCTAGAGATTTGAACTCAGGTCCTCACACTTGCACAGCAAGTGTTTTTATTCACTGTGTCGTCTTCCCAACATGTACCTTTGCTCTTGAGCTATGGTGACAGACAAATTGCTTATAAAAGTCAAGTTCAGTGAGTATGATTGCCCCCTAACTTCAGCCCTATGATGTACAAACTATGATCTCAGCTTACAGATGGGAAAACTGAGGGTCTGAAAAGTTAAATAAATTAACCATCTTTAACAGTGGATCCCTGTGGCTTCCCAAGACTGAGCTCCTTTGTGGGGGACATGGCAAGGACAGGCTATCACTCCTGATTAAGGAACTGTCCATTCTGTGGTGAGGGAAACAGTCATGGCCTGGGGTTTGAGAGGAGAGGATCCACATCAGAACAGTCTCTTCCTAGTGAACCATGCCGCTGTCAAACAGCACTGATCCTACTGCGGAATGGTCAGTTTGTGTGCTGTGGGTGGGATCAGTCAGAAGCTCCAAAGAATCCTTCCCACCAGTCTTAGACATATCTACATGACCACTTCTGTGTACAGCTTAGCAACCTCTGCCTTCCCGATGTTAGAGGGTGGTGGGTTCCAGTCATCTCGCCCTCTGCTCACGACGACTCCTTTGCTGGCTGCTACTCTCTTATCCTGTCACACCCGCCTCTACCAGCAAGGAAGACGCAACACCCAGACTCTTCTTTAAGCAGTTTATTCAGGAACCTTGAACAATCTTCTCCCAGGGAGTGCCGGGGAGCGCCAACCCACAGCTTAAAAGCCCTTGGGCGGCCAACCCCAGTATGCCACGTGGAACATGCAGATAGGTCCACGTAGGCAGAAGCAAGCCTGATATTCAGCCTTAACCAAATACAGGTGTTGTTTATCAGAGAGCACCTGCTGTCGGGCTAGCAGAAGGCGGAAGCCAGCGCCATCTTAAGGGTGCAGCACTTTGCAGCTCTCTACATTACCCTGCCTCCCTGTCCCTCCCATCCACACACCTGTTATAGGAACTAAGGCCACACAAGACCCAAGCTCCATGGTGGTCTGTGGGCAGCACCTGCCTAGAGCAGTGCACTATACAATGTGGGTCACGGTACGTCCTAAGCAAGCCACACAGTAGCAGTAGCACCAGGTATGGGTTCCTCTAAGAACAGACACCTTTTGAGTGGCTGAATCCTTTAATCTTCATTTAAGGTTTATTTTTACTATTTATTTGTTTGTTTGTTTATTTATGTGTCTGTGTGTCTGTGTGTGGATATATGCATAAGAGGGAAGGTGCCCACAGAAGCCACAAGAGGGCCCTGGAGCTGCAGTTACAGGCAGTTGTGAACCTCTTGATAAGTGCTGGGGACCAAACCCAGGTCCTGGGAAAGAAAGCAGCAAGTACTCTTACCTGCTAGGACATGTTTTACCCCGTGATCCTACATCTTAGTTAATGATATGGTAAAGGTAGCCTCCTTCCCAGGAGGGTGACAAGCAGAGAAGCCAAACTCTTCACCTGGCCATGGACAGGACCATAGATGTTTCTGGGCTCCATGGTTTCCAGTTATAACAGGATTGATAAAGCAGCTCTCACCCTCCTCCCCATTTGGTGAGGCCTAGAGGAGGTGAGAGATAGGAAGGATTTGGCTTGGCACCAGACACCCTGGGGCTACATGCGTGGCAGGGTCCTCCTTCCTAAACTTTCTCGGATTCCTTCACACACAGTATGTCTCTTTCCCATGGGAGTCGTTTAAAGGCAGGACCCATTTCTGGGCAAAGATAAAAACTCTTGGCAGAGAGAAACCATTGCCAGGATGTTTAACTAGTTCCTGTTCGCAGGCGGGCGAGGACACGCTCCAAAGCCCTTTATCTCCCTCTCACGAAGAGCGTGTGGGAGCCCCATGCTAGGCTCAGATGGAGCCTCGACTTTTATTTATAAGTAGACATTCAGGATTCTACTGAAGCTTTGCTAACTCCAGTCAAATCACGACATCAAGGAAAGAAAAACTCCATTTTCTGCTAAGATGTCGAAATGGCCCTGGCCAATTAGGCAGTGGGGCTGCAGGAGACGCAGCCAGCCAGGCAGCCAGGTGGGTGGGCACCTCCTCTGCTTCTCTCTGTGTTGGGGTCTGTCAGTGAGCCCAGGGAACCCACATGAGCATGTGTCACGTCTGCTGCGCGGCCTGTGTCCGAGAACGTGCGGAGGGTGTCGGGTATTGATAACACAGAGACTCGTTCAATGATATAAAGAGAACTTTAAACAGGCTCCAAAAAGGTTCAAGAAAAACTTCCTAAGAAAAGCTCCCACCAGAGAAGATTCTGCTCTCTCCTCTACCCTGGCTGGTTCTGCTCTGACACCAGAGGTGGATGTGTGTGGGTTTTTGAAGGTGCGGTTAGTCTTTGGACAAGGTCGAGGTCAGGGCGGTTTCTGTGGGAAGGCCTTTCCCAGGAACTTATTGTATCATTTTTAGTAAACATGTTTTTACTAAACATTGCCTTACAGCTGCCTACTCCCAGGCAGAAGGGGAAGTGGCCAGGAACTTATTGTATCGTTTTTAGTAAACATGTTTTTACTAAACATTGTCTTACAGCTGCCTACTCCCAGGCAGAAGGGGAAGTGGGTCTCTGCTCAAGGTCTGGTGTTCCCACAAGCATGTGCAGCAGGGAGGGGGCCGAGCTTGGAAGCTCTAGTGAGGGAAGGGGCTCCCAGTGTCTCCCGGTATGCTTCTTGCCAAGCTGTCCCCGGATGTTCTGGAATGGATGTGAGAACTGCCTGTTATGAGTCATCTACAAGTTCACATATGGTGGTGGGTCATGAACTTGGAATGATGAATAGAGCTACTATCCTAACAGTGCCCCTAAGACTCGGGGACTGACTTCTCAGTGTCCCACCTGCCCAGGGCCTGCACGCCCCAGTCACTGCTCCAGCTGCCCAGATAGTCTCCCATTAGGACGTACTGTGACCCACATTCTGTCAGAATGGCCACAGTTTGTGTAAGAACTCAGACGAGACCAGGGCTTCATAAACACAGGGGTCCCCACTGCTGTGAAGAATGGGACCCAGAGCTGGGGCTTCGCCAGGCACTGGCCTTAGGTCTCAGACACCTGCTCCTGGGACCAGCCTTGAATTCTGCCTTACGGGTCTCGCCCACCCGAGCTCCAGGCTCTGCAGTGGCCACTCTGTCGGCCCGTTTTCATGCACCTTTAGTGCTAACTTGTCTGCTGCATCAGACAGTCGGTCATCAAACACATCACATCCGCTCTGGGCCATTGCTAGGGGCTAAAATGGCAAAGAAAATTATGGCCTAGGCCTTAACTTGATTCTCTCCTAGCTCCTGGGATGACTCATTGAACATTCATGAAGCACTCCTCTAGGCCACGCACAGGCATCTGTTTTACTGTTTCTGTCCTGCATTTGGACACAAAACAATTATTCATGGAGTCCCTTAAAGGAGGTATTTAGTTTCCAATCTTGTTCTCATTCTTTTCTCCGAGGTACCTACCTTGTGATACACTCCAGATCACACAGAGGCAGCAACACCGGACTCTAGAGACTTCTTCCCCGTCTCCCCTGGCTGAAGACCCAGCACTAGTTCCCAGAGTGTGAACACTGTCTGGGCTAGGCCCTATGGGGAAGACAAGGAACATCCCAAAGCAAACCCTCAGAGCATCTCCACCCAATGGCTCATTCATTCTTTTTATTTTATTTTATTTTATGTTTGGTTTTTCAAGACAGGGTTTCTCTGTGAAACAGTGCTGGCTGTCCTGGAACTCACTCTGTAGACCAGACTGGCCCCAAATTCACAGAGATCCTCCTGCCTCTGCCTCCCAAGTGCTGGGATTGAAGGCGTGCACCACCAACACCCACATTTTTTAAACACTTTTCACCCTGATTTATTGTATACATATGTGCACATGCATGAAGGCATTCTTGTCAGAGCACATGGATGCAGACCAGGGGAGAGTTTGCAAAATCAGTCCTCTCCTCTCCCATGTGGGTCCCAGGAAGTGAACCCAGGCCATCAGGTTTGGTGGCACCCACTCATTCCTTCGACATGTTTCTAGAGTCTCTGAAACTCTGGTAGAGGCTTTGGGGATGTGAGTGAGATGAAATCTTGTAATAGACACAGCAACATCTTGTTGATGAGCAGTGTCCCAGGCCGTCTGAGGGACAGATGCCGGGCAAATGAGCACATAAACAGATTTCTGTGTTCATGGTCCAGGCTCAGAGGCTCATATGAGAGAGTGGGAGGGCCTGTGGCTAGGCTACATCTGCTGTTTAAATTTGAGTTCAGCCAGGTGGTGGCAGCGGATGCCTTTAATCCCAGCACTAGGGAGGCAGAGGCAGGCGGATCTCTGTGAGTTCGAGGCTGGGCTGGACCGATAGCCTCCAAAACAATACAGAGAAACCCTGTCTCGTAAAAACCACAAAAAAAATTGACTTCAGCAGCTACCCTCTCTGAGCTTTTGTTTGCTATGGTAGCTCCCTGTCTGCCTGTCCTATGGAAAAGGGGAGAGCTAATGTGTGCGAGGGTTGACATCTCAAGTGCCACAGCTGTTCTAAGTAGGCACATAAACAGGTCACCGGCACACAGTGTGGAATAAAACAGTGGGGACCCAAGTCATCCTGGGATCAGTGAGAGAAGTGACACCATGGCAGGTGCCACCCAGCCAGAGGGGAGGGGCTGGACAGAGACACACACACAGACACAGATACACTCAGCCAGAGGGGAGGGGCTGGACACAGACACAGATGCAGACGCAGACACACACACACACAGACACACAGACACATACACACACACAGACACACACACACACACACACACACACACACACACACACCGGTTGTCTCTGGTACCCACTGGCTACCCTCAAGGGAAGCAGTTCTATGAGGGATGGAGTAGCTGGGAAAGGAGAAAAGACAGAGACACAAACATTATCTGAGGATTGGGGTGGGGATTGCTTGCCTGGCCCTGCACCACAAAAACCAGGCATAGTAGCAAATATCTGTAACCCCGACAATCGCGGATGGAGGCAGGAGGATCCTTCGCTATGTAGAGAGTTTGGGGCCAGTCTGGGCGACATGAGAGCCTGTCTTAAACAAGAAGGCTGGAGCCAGCTCAGCAGGTAAAATCCCTTGCTGGGAAAGCCTGACAACCTAGTTCAATCACCAAAAGTCACATAAAGATGGGGAAACCACAAAGTTGTCCTCTGACCCCCACGCTGTGGCACACGCATGCCACACACATCACACACACACACACACATCA